ACTTGCACATTTTTCATGGATCGAGGATTCAAGTAGCAAGGTTCAACACTGCATATCACCGCACTTAGGATGCCAACTTGAATGGTAGTGAAAAGAGGGTAAGCGAATTGACAAACTGGACCGGCAGAGATATGCTGTGCTCTCGAAATTAACGTTCCTGCAACTGGTCTTACGCGCATTTCCCGAAATTCATCCTCGCCGCATTTAGGACAACCTCGGTTATTACGAGTAACATTTGGTAACACACGCGACCTGGAGGATGTGCTCCTGACAGGCCACAAGCTAACAAATTCCTCTCTCAGCGCCCGCATTTTCCCAGATAAACCATGGATAGAAAGGCAAAAATGGAAATTCGACCCAGTCGCGTCACGACATGATGCGACGAAGAAAGTAGTGCTGGTCCACGGTGTTCCAGAACTTAACCATGGCGATATAAATGAACATCAGAAGCATGATATAGAAGAGTGGAGGTACATAACGGAGCTCTACAACATACAAAATATCTTGACTTTCGATGTCACCCGTCTAGCGGCCTCCTTAAACTACCAGGGTAACGGGCCATAAATTTTGAAAGTCACCGTGGCTACATCTGAGATGGTATCAACGGCCGTCCAAGCGTGGCACGACAACAGAAAACGTGGGCCACCTGAAATACGTTTAAGACCGTTCCTAAACAAAGTACGGGCTACAGATACAGACGAACCGGACTCGGTTGTTCCTAAGTCAGGTCAGACATATGTGCAAACGCCTGTGACAAAAAACGTACGCAGACCGGCACAAGCTGTGCCGGTCAACCACAACGAACCGAGCTCTTAATGCGTCAACAGATACAGTGCTGCTACACAAACGCTCAGGGGCTCAACTCTAAGCTACCTGAATTGCGCCATCGACATAACACAATCAATTGGGATATCATAGCTGTAACTGAAACCTGGCTCTCCAATGACATGCTCGACACGGAAATCGAAATCAGTGATATGTCAGTTATTCGCAATGATCGTCCATCTCGCGGTGGCGGCGTTGCTCTGTACTATCGGAATTGTCTGAGATGTGAGGCTATTAACGAACGTCACCTTGCTGTCTCCGACGCTTTGTTTTGCCGAATGCAGCTAAATGGCCGAGGTGGTGAACCTTCGAAGAAGACGTGGGATGGTTGTCTGTTGGCAGTTGTCTACAGGCCACCGAACTCCACCGCAGACCGAGATGACATTCTGTTAAACGCGCTTCATTATGCAGTTTCTCAAAAGTACTCACATTGTCTAATCATGGGCGATTTTAACGTACCCTCAATTGTCTCAGCGACTTCTAGTGGTCCTTACTTCAAATCAAAGATTCTCGAGTTTATGGATACAGCAGCTCTGTACAACCACGTGCACCGCCCAACTAGACACCGCGGTTCAAATAAGCCATCGCTTCTAGATTTAATCTTAACCAACGAAGAGTTGATGATTGAGACAATTTCATACGATCCACCATTAGGCAACAGTGACCACTCAGTGTTGAATTTTGCCTATGTGTGTTACGCCAATACTACTGAAATCAGACATGAAAACCGACGAACTATAACCAACTATTCCGTGCTGCACAGCCTAGCGACAACCGTCAACTGGGACCTCAATCTACAGAGCACGGCAGACGACGCGTGGAACGAACTAAAAGACAAAATTAGCTGTGTCACGCAAGCAGCGTCAAAAGTCATACCATTACGAGTGCTGCGCCGGACCAACACCTGGATCCGAAGCAGAACGCGTAAATGGATTAGCATCACAGACGAGATCTGGAGACAATCCGCGCTGAACCATTGCGACGCCACCTGGGAGAATTACAAAATAGTGAGGAACTATTGCACATCACTGATTAGAGCCGATAAGTACGAATGGCAAAAAAACATGGTACTTAAATTCACGAACAATACAAAACTGCTGTACAGGTACGTGAACAGCAGAAGAAAAGTTAAAACAGGAATACCACCACTCAAGACAGATGGTGGCCTAACGACTACTGCTGTGGATGCTGCGAACGCATTACTTCTGCAGTTTGGCACAGTGACTGCAAACGCCATAGAACCTTTGCCAAACCAGCATTCACCCAACGTGGTCGGCATATCAACTGTCACTTTTACCTCAGCAGCTGTCGCTAGCAAATTACGGTCTCTAAGAGAAAATAGCGCTCCGGGAGTCGACAAGATCAGACCCAAAGTTCTTAAAACTCTTGCTCCCACCATAGCAGCACACCTCGCAAGCTTTTTCCAAAGTCTACTCAATTCCCAAACACTTCCGTCTGAGTGGAAAAGCGGGATAGTCACTCCGATATACAAAGGAGGTAAGCGATCGGATCCTGCCAACTACCGACCCATTACTCTCCTCCCTGTGTTATCAAAAGTAATGGAATCGTTAGTTGCAGGATAAAATTACACGATATTTTAAGTTTCTGAAGCTAATTTCTCACCTCCAACACGGCTTTAGGCGCAAACGATCTTGCCTCACAAATCTGCTTCTTGCTCGGGATTCATGGACCAAAGCACTTGATGAAGGATCCCCCCTTGATGTGATTTACCTAGACTTTTCGAAGGCATTCGACAGAGTCAATCACTTAGCTCTGCTTCATAAGCTTCGTGCCTACGGTATCCATGGTTCCCTACTCACCTGGCTAGCAGCATATTTGCATGACAGAACGATCAAGGTCAGAGTCGCCGATGCCCTCTCGGAAACCCTCTGCATCTCCAGCGGTGTTCCTCAAGGATCCGTCCTTGGTCCCCTCCTTTTTCTGGTCTACATTAACGACCTCCCGGATAATATTCAATCCTCGATGCAAATTTTTGCAGATGACGCAAAAATCTGGAGAGTTATTCACTCAACATCAGACTGTGCCCTCCTCCAGAATGATTTGGATAAAATCAACAAATGGGCAGATATAAATCACCTCCCCCTGAATCCTGCCAAGTGTCACCTACTGTCATTGCGCAGCAATCTTGCCAACACGTACCTCTTGGGGCAGTACGCTTTACGGCGCGTGACCGCAGAAAAAGACTTAGGTATCATTGTGCAAGAAAGTCTGGGGAATTCGCTCCAATGTTCCAAAGCAGCGAACGTGGCGAACATGAACCTGAGACTTTTGAGGCGAGCCTTTGGTGTTTTTGAACGACGGTTGGTACCCATGCTTGTCAACTCCTATATCCGTCCCCACGTCGAATATGCCGTCCAGGCTTGGTGCCCATGGTTAAAACGAGACATTCATCTCTTAGAGCAGCCCCAACGAAGAGCTACCAAGGCAACACGCGGATTATCTGGTCTCAATTATGAAGTGCGTCTCAGTTTAATCGGAATGTTTTCCTCCGAATACCGACGACTACGTGGAGATCTCATTCTCGCATACCGGATATTAACGGAAAGCGATCACCCGTGCAAATCGCTGCTCACCCTAGCCTCATATAAGCGATCGAGAGGTCATAACCTCAAGCTGATAATCCAACACTCCCGATTAGACTGCAGAAAATATTTTTACTCTCTTAGAATCTGTTCACAATGGAATGACTTGCCAACGCATGTGGTAAACGCTCCGAACATTACAGCCTTCAAACAATTGTTAGACATTCATCTGAGTGACAAACAACACATTGTGGTGTGATGTACCAGGTTTAGACTATTGGCATTTCAGTTCCATGTCGGAATCTAATAATTTTTATCTATTTGCATTTACCATCCTATGGGTCTTGTAAAGCCAATGCTTTTTATCCCATCATACACTATTGAACTATTGAACTATTGATAAACTGCATGCTGCAGGATCGTGTGTGTGTGTGTGTGTTTATGTATGTTCGCAGGCACAGCCAACTTATCCGAGCAAGTTGTAGCATGCAACACTTGATGCTACAACTGTTTTGGTACTGGTCACTACGCCGCAGGCTGCCAATGTGGCTGTGATATGCGTATTGTTTCCCTGTGAAGCCGTGTAATGCTGCGGGTGATTATCTCAGTCGGATCTCTATGGACATTGCACAAACGTTTATGCAGATCGTTATTTTAAACGGAAACCTGTGATCTGATAGTGTACCCCCATACATGTGTACCGCAAGCCCTATCAATTTCTGCCTATTATCATTTGGGCCGAAATTCCACTTGGAGCCAATCTACCACAGTCTCGCAAACCGTCGTTAGCGATTCATGCCCTATTGATCGCTCCCATGTGTGTGTTCATTGACACTGCATTCGCGCCTCGGGTCAATATTCGACTCACGATCCCCTCTGACTGGTGAACCCCACCTGACCAGTACGTCTGATTCGCGAAGTGCCAACTCGCCATTGTCTTTGACCTTCCAATCAGGAGAGAGCAAATGTCGCAATTTGTGTGGTTGACGAGTGACCTACGTTACTGCACAACATGCGATCCCAATTCATGCCTATGTCTCGTCTCCCCCAACTGACTGTCCTCAGCCTTGTGTGATTGGACTCCGGAAGGCTTGTTTCCTGATTGGTTCGTTGGTGTGACCGTGTCTTGCTACATACGCCGGTGTCAGGGCCGATTAAAGGTGCCGCATTTGTACAACCCGATCGTTTCGTTGTTGTTCAAACCGGTAAATGTGAACACGCATTTGTTGAGCATATCCTCGATGTAAGTTGTAATTATGACATTCTACTTTTTATAACATAGTTTAACACTGACTGTAGATTCGCGGTTGAATGATGCCCGTGTACCAGTTCCGGTTCATTGTCAGTCGATGATTCCATCTCGGATGTCGTGGATTGGTGTCCCACTCGTTGTCCAACGATATTAAGCGCTTTCGACGCTTACAATGTTCAACAATCCCAATTCTCGCAGTCATGCACTTCGGTGATCTCCAATCTGATCCCGTATGATGAGCAAATTCAGCGAGGTACAATCTGTTACGCGTACCTCATTTTGTGCGGAATGCGCGAGCAAAATGGTGAACGGAGTTATCAAAACGTGAGGCAGGCACTGTAACGGTTGGCATTCGTTAACGTCCAAGAAGCGGAGATGTTTCAAAGGCGGAAATTCGGCTCGATGCGCTCCATCATATGGGCTGTTCTCAAGTACAGTCGTATGGTCACAATTGTGTTCTTGTCTGAGGTCGTCAAAGAGGAGTGGAAGCCTGAGGCATTCAGTTCCTGCAAGGATACTTGGCGTCGAATCGTTGGATTTAACCGCTGGCAAGCCTCAATCCATCCAGCGTCCGTCACCCGCGTGGAATACATGCGAAGACATTGAAAATTTGGAAGAGCAAGCATGTCACGAATATTGCGATCACAAGCGGCCCACGGGATGATGAGACGGAGCATTCGTACTTTCCGTTCAGACTGAGACCCATCATATGAGACCAACGCGAAATGAGGCAACACACCATATCATTCGTAACCAGCGGATAGTAGCTCAGATCCAGGGAGGTAGTGCAGTTCCTCAGCATAGTGGCCACGTGTACGTTAATCTGCACACATGCATGCACTCACGCGAAGTCATCACCAAGTGCCGGCCTAAAGAGGATAGTCACCGATTGATGCTCGGAAACTACCCAAGCAACAGTCCAAAACTACGTATCGTGGCGAGAACACGTGGAGAGTTGGGATCATGCCTAAGCAGCGGCTAGGGAGTTACAATGACCCGAAATGAATTTCAGATGAAGTTTGTGGCAAAGGATGGCGAGAGGAGTGATAAATGGTCAACGCCGTTGTGGCGGATCATCCTTATTATTTACACACCCATAAACTGGAAAACTGGAACAATTCAACACTTCCTATTGGTTAGTACGTGGATATTTTGTGCTATCGTCGTTATGCATTCTGTGCACAATTGGTTGGCGGCATCCGGTTTCGGATTTGCCTGTCACTGTGGCAAGCCACAGGACGCCTGCGCCTACAGAGGGACCATGGATGGCTTGCGCTGCACCACCCACAGCTCCAACCACACACCCCATATCCAGTGTAAACCCGAAGGAATAAGACCGGGAGGCATGTAGATGGGAACCACGTTTCATCAACGGAGCCGGCCCACACTCCTTCACAGGCAAACACAAGCACGCTGTATTTGGGAATCAACCGCACAGAAGGCGGTGGCTGGACCGTAGTCCGCTCCACACTGAGTGCATGGAACCGCTCTTTGAGCCTAGCACGGCCACACGAACCGTGCACCCCGTCCCCTCCAGCAACGACCAACTGTCTCCTGGAGCCAGTATGAACGAGGTAGTGGGTAATAGACAGGTAGGCACCTTGTCAACATGCACATCAAGCGCAGCCACACCGGGGATATCAAACAACAGCCAATCACTTAAGAGAGAGAGAGAAATAAAAACAGAGAAAAACTCGATTAATGCCTAAGGAAACGGTGACATAAACCTTAATTAAATAGCATACGTAATAAGTTGTTTACAAACAAATCCTAGCTAAGTGCACGAGGTCAGGAATTATAGTTCACGGAATGCCACGAACACAAAAATGCTATGGAAATCGAATACAACTGGCTGAAGCGATATGTGCAAGTTAATGGAATAGAGTACAGGGAGATATTTATATGAGAAAGAAAAGCATTAAGGTAAAAACTGTAAACCCACCACCTGAAATAAAGAGACTTAGCATGCAAGCACGCGGTTAGTAAATCGAATTCAGCGTGCCTACAAACGCTGCGCCGGCTCGTCGTAATTCTCTACAGGTCCCATCGTCGCTTCTGTAGTGGCCCCAAAGGACCTAGCTCATGGCCCACTAGACATTTATATGAGAAAGAAAGGCATAAGGAGAGAACCGAAAACCCACCACCTGAAATAAAGAGACTTAGCATGCAAGCATGCGGTTAGTAAATCGAATTCAGCGTGCCTACAAACGCTGCGCCGGTGCTGCCTACGTTCACTGCGGGACCCGTCGTCGCTTCGGCAGTGATCCCGAGTGACCTCTCTCATGGCTCACTAGGCCTGCCTGACTAAGGCACTCGCGACCGCATGTTCTACAGCACAATGCGCTCGATGTCGATGGAGTACAATTCATCGGTGCTTGCCGCTTCTTCTCTGCATGCATGAGGGCTTTCTCTCGCACTTCAGCAACTGCCTTCGTGATTAGATCGCGCCATGCACCACGATCAACCGCCTTCGATTCCCATGATCTGCAATCAAGATTAGAACGTGTGAGGCTCACTTTAATCATGTCCTGGTAACGTAACTTTGGTTTCCCAGCATGCCGCTTCCCTATACTCAGCTGACCGTATAAAAGTTGTTTCGGTATTCGCGTCGAATCCATACGGCTCACATGACCGAGCCATCTCAGGTGTCGCAGTAAAAGTATGCCGTCCACTGCATACATCCCACTACGGCGCAACACTTCCGTGTCCGCAACTCTGGCGCCCCAGCCGATCCGCAAAATTCGTCGCACACACTGCTGATGGAACCGCTCGAGATATCGCACATCCCGACGGTACATCGTCCACGTTTCACTGCCGTATAGAAGAACGGACAGTACCATGGATTTGTACACCATCAGCTTCGTGCCAATGCTAAGCTGATGGTTGTTCCACACTCGGTACTCAAGCTTACCGAATGCCGCTGCCGCCTTTGACACGCGATTACGCAACTCAATGTGTAGCTGCTGATCAGTCGACATCACACTCCCAAGGTAGCAGAAGCGGGAGGTGGTTTCCAATACTTCAGCACCAATGCTGATTTGCGGCAATATTGAAGATTGCACCTCCAGTGAAGGCTGAAAGAGACACACAGTTTTGCTTGTGTTGATGGTGAGCCCGAATTTGGCCGCTGTCGAAGCCAGAGCACTAGTCATGTGCTGCAACTCATCCGCGCTGTGTGAAAACAACGCACAGTCGTCAGCAAACAGCAACATACGGATAGTTGTCTCACAGACTAGAGTTCTCGCACCGAAACGACGGATGTTCAGCAACCCACCATCGATACGGTGCTCCACACGAACACCGTAAGCACAAGCCGCATCAAAAGCACAAGACAACATTGCATGAAGATAGATATTAAACAGGGCAGGAGCTAACACACAGCCTTGCTTCACACCAGAGACAACTGGAAAGTCATCAGAGGTCTCTCCACTCAGCTGCACCCTCGCTCGCATACCACTGTGCAGACATTCAATTAAACTTACAAACTTACGCGGGCAACCAAACATACATACATACATGGTTGGCGGCATCCGGTTTCGGATTTGCCTGTCACTGTGGCAAGCCACAGGACGCCTGCGCCTACAGAGGAACCATGGACGGCTTGCGCTGCACCACCCACAGCTCCAACCACATACCCCATATCCAGTGTAAACCTGAAGGAATAAGACCGGGAGGCATGCGGATGGGAACCACGTTTCATCAACGGAGCCGGCCCACACTCCTTCACAGGCAAACACAAGCACGCTGTATTTGGGAATCAACCGCACAGAAGGCGGTGGCTGGACCGTAGTCCGCTCCACACTGAGTGCATGGAACCGCTCTTTGAGCCTAGCACGGCCACACGAACCGTGCACCCCGTCCCCTCCAGCAACGACCAACTGTCTCCTGGAGCCAGTATGAACGAGGTAGTGGGTAATAGACAGGTAGGCACCTTGTCAACATGCACATCAAGCGCAGCCACACCGGGGATATCAAACAACAGCCAATCACTTAAGAGAGAGAGAGAAAGAAAAACAGAGAAAAACTCGATTAATGCCTAAGGAAACGGTGACATAAACCTTAATTAAATAGCATACGTAATAAGTTGTTTACAAACAAATCCTAGCTAAGTGCACGAGGTCAGGAAGTATAGTTCACGGAATGCCACGAACACAAAAATGCTATGGAAATCGAATACAACTGGCTGAAGCGATGTGTGCAAGTTAATGGAATAGAGTACAGGGAGATATTTATATGAGAAAGAAAAGCATTAAGGCAAAATTGTAAACCCACCACCTGAAATAAAGAGACTTAGCATGCAAGCACGCGGTTAGTAAATCGAATTCAGCGTGCCTACAAACGCTGCGCCGGCTCGTCGTAATTCTCTGCAGGACCCGTCGTCGCTTCTGTAGTGGCCCCAAATGGCACAGCGCATGCCCACTAGACATACATGATGATTAGGCGGCGTCCGTATCCGGATTTGCCTGTCACTGTGATGTCCATGGGGACAGTCACAGGACGCCTGCGCCTACAGAGGGACCATGGGTGGCTTGCGCTGCACCACCCATAGTTCCATCCACACACCCCATATCCGGTGTAAACCCGAAGGAATAAGACCGGGAGGCATGCGAATGGGAGCCACGTTTCATCAACGGAGCCGGCCCACACTCCTTCAACAAGCAGAACGGAAGCATTCCAGCCTAATTGGGAATTCATACACACCAGACGTACACGAGGCGGTGGCTGGACCGTAGCCCGTTCCACACAGGTTGTATGGAACCACTCTTTGAGCCTAGCACCGTCACGAGGACGGTGCACTCCGTCCCCTCCAGCGACGACCAACTGGCTCCTGGAGCCAGTATGGACGAGGTAGTGGGTAATAGACAGGTAGGCACCTTGTCAACATTCACATCAGGCGCATCCACACAGGGGAGCTCAAGCAACATCTACTTCTGAAATGCAAGATTATTCATCACGCAGGCAAACGTACCACATACGCTGCCTTATTGGCCTGGATTAGTAAATTGAATGGGAACATACTCATGGTGCTTCTATTCCGCGTACAATTGTGCCTTCTCCGGCACCTGAGAAACCGCCCTTTTGAGTAGTTCACGGAATTCGCATCGATCAAATTTGTCTTGGATTCGCAACACCTGAAATCAACATGAGTTTGTCATAAACTCACCTTCCTCATGTTCTGGTAATATTATTTTCGGTTTGCTCGAATGTCGTTCTACTGCACTAAGTTAACCGTACAAAAGCGGTATGAAGATCCTCGTGGAATTCATTCGGTATACATATATACATAGATTGGCGTCATCTTTGTCCAATGGCAGTTCGAATGCAACGTATGTACATGCGTTTATGCAAACTTAAGTGTGAGCTGTCACAAAGTGGATAGAGACACATTAGACATCATCATCAATGGTACGACAAACGTGTATGGGTTTCGTTTGGAGGTCAGGCTAACAACCACTTTTGCAGGTATGAGAATAACTACCCCATACGAACGGTTGATGTTTTCTTCCACATTTAGACGTGACTGCCTTAAATCTTGGGCATCCATATTTGAAGGAATCCGATGTGGCAATAGTAAAGCAACTGCTAGGTAGAATGATGACTAGACTATTGGTACAGTGAAATAGTGTGCACTTAGGTGTTGCCCTCTACATGTACAGTCTGGTTTGAGTAGCTGATG